GGAGGCCCGTTCCAGGCCTTGTCAGTCCCCAGCTGCTCGGATTCCTTTTATTTTTACCCCTCTCTCTCCTAGAAGAGATTTTTTTTTCCTCCTGTAATGTGTCGATTCCCTGGTGCTGCTTGAAAACGCTCAGGCCATACCTTTCCTCGCTGCAGTCCCTACCTTTCCTCACTGCAGTCCCTTTTCCCTGCTCTGTGTCTTAATCATAAGGATGGTGTGATTTTCAGATCCGCACAGCAAGGAGCAGGCAGCGGGGATGGCAGTCCCAGCAGTGCAGCGGCAGAGACACCCTCCAACGAAGACTTCAGGTAAAGCTAATCTGCAGAACGGCATAATCACCTGTGACACCCCATTTTGAAATCTTTGCCATAACATATTGCTGTCAAGTGAATAGTAAGCAAGTACATTAAAGTCCTTCCAAAGCAGAAACGTCTGTGAAAGCATACTGAAGTCCACTGGGTGCTTTTTCTGGAATACCTACAGAATGGACACAACTACAGAGCTCAAATAATGTATTAACCATAAACTATCATCTTTGAGTTTGAACTCCCTTTTCTTTGCTACTAATACTTGGCATTTCTGTATTTATTTAGGTCTTCACGTAGATTATAGATAATCAAAATTTATTAATTTTAAATGGACATCTTTTCCAGAAGCCCTGTAATGGAGTTGTTACTCTGTATTACAACTAAGGAAACATAGGAACAAAGAAGGGCAGTGACTTCTTCATAGCTGCTGAGGTCGGCATCAGCTGACACCACAACTCCCGACTTCTGGTCTAGTGGGCAATGCGTTTCCGATAGGCCAGAAGTCACAGGGTGAGTTAGCTATAAGCCAGAGAGAGATCACAGTGGTCCCCTTTCTAGAAGCAGGTCATTCAGAGAAATGAAACGGTAATATTTGCTTTTTGTAAACAACTTCTTGTTTTTCTTAAAGCCTTTCCTTGCTGGACACTAACTTGCCAGCTGAAGCAGAGCCTGAACTGCGCAGCTTTATCGCTAAGCGTCTTACCAAAGGAGCCCTGTTTGAAGGAATGGGGAATGTGGCGTCAGTGGGGCTGAGGTAAATTTTAAAAATTATTTGTGAATGAGAAACTGTAAGAAGCATTGGCAGCATTGCACATCTTGCCATCCACTGCTGCACTTAGGTTTAATCTCAATTCCATTTTGTCAGTCTATTGCTGCGGTTAATAACAGCTTTACGCAACGGCACTTTCTTCTTTTTCTAGGTAGCTTTGAGAAAAATATTGTAGTACATAATTTACTGTTTGAATACTAAAAAATACTACATAAGTTTATGACTATTACCTTTAAACTACTCTGATCACACCACAGAGGGAAAAAGAGAAGGCCTAAGAGCTCTATGTATTACTATAGGAGCCACTAGTGCTAGCAGGTGAAAATTCTTTACAGAAATCATTTATGCCTGCTTTTTGCACTTACTTGCTGTGATGCATCGGTAACAAAATAATTTTTTTTTTTTCTGCATAGCATACCAGAATATAAAGTTGGTTGTTACTACTGTCGTTTCCAACAAGAAAATCTTCTAGAAATGGCAACACTGGAATCAGACATCAATGCTCCAGAATATGTGGTTTGTTTCTTAGGTGGCTCAGAGAAAGGTCTGGAACTATATCCTTACCTTTAGGTTTCTTTACCTGTGTGGAGAGGGAGATGATGTAAAAATTATGTTCTCATTCTGTCTGTTTCCTACTTGAAATCAGCCTGCTTGTGCACACCTTCCAGTAACTGAAAATGTCAATAACAGCCACATACTGAAAGGGAAAAATGCAGCTCTTAACTGATGCATCTTATTTTCCTTAAGAAGATACTTTCAGACTGGAGCTGGACAAATATGTTCAAAGTCTGAAGATAAACCTTGATTTGGAGGTAAGGCCTAAATTTTTTTGAAGTGGTGAAAACTACTATTTATGCAAATTAATTACTAAAACAATCTGGAAGATTTAGTTTGTAGAGACAAAATAGGTGTTTTAAATACCAGTATGAAACACTGAGAGACACTTGATTTACTGTAGTGACAGTAAATACCTAAAGTGCTATCAACCACACAAGTCAAAAGGGAAAAAAGAAACGGGGAACCACGCTTTTTTGTGCCAGTCATAAATGTCTTAAAGGTTCGGTAGATTCAGAGAGAAGAATGACGAATAAAAGGTCATGGTCTACAGAAAAGTTATCAGTGTCCACCTGGATTCTTATCACATCTGAACATTAAGGAAGGATTTTTAGGGGTTTTCTTGTCACAATTTTTCAAATGGAAACTATGCAATTTAGGTCTGTCTCATCCCATCTGCTGTTGCATGGTCTTTGCTCAGTATATACCAGAATATTACAGTCTATCCGCTTCTTAAAACGCAAAGCCCTTTACTGCTGATATTCCACATAAGTGTGGCTTTAAATGTCAGACTCATTATTTTAGTCAACTGTGGTTTGAAATTAAGAAGGATCTGACATCCAAATATCTTGGGTCGAATAGATTATTAATAGGCTTCTATTTGTGTAGAAATCTAATTTTTAGTTAAAGTGTTAATGTTTCAACTTGTTACAGAAAAAAACCTTGGAGACTTGTGTTAACCCCTACTTGAGAAGCTGGTTTGAGAACGCCATATGCCCTATTCAGAGAGTCGTGCAGCTCTTCCAGGAGAAACTCACCTTTTTGTTACATGCTGTAAGTGTATTTCAAACTGGGTGACTAAAAATGGTTCAGAAGGAATTTCAGTGACTCCAACATCTTTAAAATGTTTCGTGCATTTGCTTTCCTAGACAGGAGTAAATGAGGAACACCTTTTTTCTTCTTTTTTTTTTTTCTTTACATTCAGGGCAAGTACTTTTTCCCCTGCTTTATTGCTAAGGAAGCAGATAGCAATTTTTTCTATCAATTTTCATAGCTAACTTATTTTAAATTACGTAGTAGAGTCCTAGTTGAAATTAAAATGAGAAATGGCATGAGAAAGCTGTCCCTGCTGTAATTCCTCTGAACCAAAGGGATGTTATATTGCACGTGTGCCTCATGTAATTCACTGGACACAGACAAGAAACTAATCCTAGCTCTAGCCCCTGAGCTTGAGGAGGCTTTGGATGGAATAGCTAATAAAGTGTAACTTCTGTATTTCTTCTGAATACAAAACCATCTGCAATGATTATAATAGAGTATTGCCTTAGCGCCTACTTTTTCTCTGAAAAGAACAATTTTTGAAGTACCACATAATGTATTTGTTGCTAGTAACTGCAATATAGCAACAGAAGTAATATCAAAGTTGCATCTAGCTTTTTTTCTTTCCTGTTTTTTTTTGGTTTAAGGCTTTGAGTTATACTCCTGTGGAAGTAAAAAAAGCAGATGAAAGAACAGAAAAAGACATCAGCAGGTAAAGATACTCTGAGACCAAGGAACCTGTGAGTAACTTGGCTGTTGTGTATGACACTGTTCTTGCTGTTCAGGAACCGTAAAGAAGCAAGCAGTTCACAAGAGCTTTTTGTGTCAGGTTTCTGGCAGCTGCCAGCCTCCAAGGACTTGTTCAGGAAGGAACAATGACCTCCTTGTGTATTGCCATGACTGAGGAACAGCACAAGTCAATGATTATAGACTGTAGTGGACCTCAGCCTCAGCTGCATAATGCAGGTGAGATTACAGCTGTGAATACTTCACGTTATGCACTTGTCTCCCTGAGCTGCTGAGAGTTTAGGATATTTAGAAGCTCATAGGTTCATGCCCAGAAAGTTTGGATTCTGGCTGGAAACTACACCACCTGGTTTCCTATGAGGTAGCCGAGTAGTTTGTGTTACCAGATACACTGGAACTCTTGGTTGATAACAAAATCTACCATGTGTTTAGTTTGCGGACAATGAAACTATGACTTCAGAGAAGCTGCAAAACTTTTCCTGTTGTATTTTTGACAAATATTGTGAAAAAGGATTCAACAATCGGAACAGAATTTCATGTGATCGCTGTAGCTGTGTTTGCTTTTGTTTCCCACGTGTATTGTTTTTGTTAAGACTTACTTCCTCGCCCAGGTATGCTATTATCAGTTGTTAGGTGAGAGTGGCTAAACCAGGTGAACACAGCTATATATTTATGTTGAGCTCATTTACTTTTTCTCATCTCTGCTCTGTGTTCCTGAACGTGTACCAGGAAGCAACAGATTCTGTGAGGACTGGATGCATGCTTTTGTGAATGGTGCTGAAGGTGGAAATCCATTTCTCTTCCGGCAAATTTTGGAAAACTTTAAATTGAAGGTACCTGTTCATATATGTTAAAGACTTGGAGAAGACATCAGTGTTACTGAGGGAGCAAATACTCTTTTTGCAGCAAAGTTTTAGGTTACGTATGGTGTCTAAGCATCATTAACTGATTAACTCTGAAGTTTAAGACCTGCTTAATGTAGTTGACAAGACTGGAACATAAAGTAGTGTGAAAGTTTCTTCAGTGAGGCGTTTTCTCATATTTACAATAATACCCACTTTTTTTTTCTTGAAATACTGTTAATTTCAGCTGTGCACACACAGTATCGTGTAACTGGGTAACACAGATTCAGCAGTTAACACTTCTTAGGTGATCTGTCAGAATAGAAGAGGAGAACTCTTGATACAACTTGGGGCATTATCAAGTTGTGGTGTCCACATGTTTTGCATCATTACAACAGCAGTGGTAATATGCCTCAAAGACAGTACTCAATTCTTACATTACTCTTGAGCAGTAATACAAAATTCCTATTGGAGATGCTTTTTCTTCTCCTGCTGGTCTTCCTTCACTTTTCCACATGGTATCATGTTTTCTTTCCACGTAGAAGGATAAGGAAATGCTCTGTTACTCTCTTCCCAGGCTATACAAGACATTAACAACCTGAAGAGGTTTATCCGCCAGGCTGAAATGAACCATTACGCCTTGTTCAAGTGTTACATGTTTCTAAAGAACTGTGGCAGTGGGGACATCCTTTTGAAGATTGTTAAAGTAGAACATGCAGAAATGCCAGAAGCCAGAAACGTAGTGACCGCCCTTGAGGAATTCATGAGAGAAACATCAGTGGCTTAAAATTATCTTAATTATTCTGTACTCGTTTGAGGGTATTGTATAAATCATTAATTTTTTCTGTGTAGCTTAGCTTCACTATTGCAGGATTTTTAATTTATATTTAAAAGTATTATCTAAGTCAAAACAGAGTTGCAGTTTCATCTGCCTTTTCTCTTTCTTAGAGGAAGCATTATGAGCTTTTTTTAACGTGTAAATACCAGATCATACAAACTCTTGCATAGTTTTCAGTGCTTACCAGATTCTCCAAATGACTTATCCTTTTCTGAGGAAATCATGAACGTTTGGTTTTCACAGTCATTGCACAAAAAAAAAAGAAAAATCCCTTACCTGGCAAGCATTTCAGTGTTTTAAATATTTTAAATATCTTTAAATATCATGTCTAATCATTAAGATCTGGTTACTTTTGTTTCAATATAAGCAGAAACATCTGGATAAATCATAGTAGATGAATTAATCATAGTTGTTTATGTAAGAGACGTAGGTAACAAGTCTGTAGCTAGTTCCCCCATTCTGCTTTCAGATTAGCAGTTTGTTGTTCTGCTACTAGATAAACAACTTGTTAACTGGTATGAAACAGAACTGCCTTAAGACCGACGAGTTTTAGGGATCAGTTTGTATGTATGCATACGTACACGGGGCAGACATGTTGCTTTGTAATCAAGACCTTCTTTGTATATTCTTAGTACCCATTTTGCATAACTGTAAGTAATTGTATGTTTTTCAGTTGTGGAGAATTAAACCTGAAAGTTTTACAGATAAAATATTAACTTTAAATTAATAGCAACTTCTTCAGAAATTGAAGCAAACTCAGTTCCCAAGTTAATTATTCAGACTTTAAAACACTTCATTGTATTTCAGCAACGAATTTTTACCCACATCATAGGACATTTAAATAAAATCTTTGGCCACAGCTGGAATCGAAACTCAGGAGGCCTCTGAGTGACCACATGAACGAGGACTGTTTCTGCAAACCTGATACAAGCAGAACTCTGTTGCCTTCCTTTGCAGCAGAGGGTGTCTGAACTCCTAACAGGGCATTTGAACAACCCTCTCTGAAACTAATCTTACTAACGCAGCAAAGTTCGACTGTTCTGCCAGTGCTGTTTACTGTGATGATAAAAGTGTAACGCTTTCCTGTGACACCACTGTGTTGAACTTATAGTAAGGTTTACAATAAACCACATTCAAATCCTTCTTAGTGTGCTACATTAGATTACACGAGCGTTGTCCTTGATGTCTCCTTTATTCACACAATGCAGAGGAGCTGCTCCTGTGATGTGCAGGAGTCTGCAAGTGTCATTGACAGCCAAGGTGACAACGTAACACATATGGGCAGGTCAGAGAAGAAAGTAAAAGTGGTTTGAAATAAAACAAACCCCTTATCCTCTCATTTGCAGGAGCTCTGAGAAGTAACAATGTTTTCCTTCAGAATATTTTATTCATGAGTGAGTAAAGCAGCGCCACTCAATAAAACATGTCACTGTTTGTTCCTCTTGTACATTTTTAACAAAGTTAGAGCACTGATTAGTATTCTGCCTGATGAGGGGCAGGGAAGAGCTCAGTGCTCAAAAAAAAAAAAAAAAGTTGGATGTGAGGAACAGGTAGCTGTGACCTGGAAGGAGTGCAAGAAATCATTGCACTAGTGCTGTCCTGGTCCTTGTGCCTGGTGCTGGCTGGAGAGTTGGGCCAGAGCCTCATGCCATCAGGTATTCTATGTGCTGGCCTTAATATTTCCAAATAGTAGTTGAGTCCCAGGCACAGCAATGCTGGTGGTGATAAACTGTTCCTGAGATGCAACCACAATTGTTTTGCCCAGTCTTCATCCCCGGAAGTTTTCAGGAATAAACGGGCTGAAGTGCTGAACAACCTGCATTACCTCTTGGCTGACCCTATCTTGAGCAGGAGGTTGGACTAGAGATCTTCTGAGATCACCTGTAGTGTGACTGGTACTACACTCATTTAAACAAGAATTCTGTTTTGTTTGCTAGGTAAACTATCATCAACTCACTCTTCAAAATCCAGATATTTTTTAACCTTAACCGTAAAACTTTGCTTAGTCTTGTTGGGGTTTCTCTCCAAAGTATGCATTGTTCAATACCAGTCCCACTGAATTTGTACTCTTACACGTGGCAACTTCAGTCACAGTTTTTTCTGTTTCTAGTTCCTTTTCCTGAATTTTACCAGTAGTGAAGGTGACTGGCATTATGAAAAACATCACTTCTTGCCTTCTGCTGCCTTTGTTTTAACATTATCTTGCTCCTACCAGCTTTGCAGTGACTTTGCCGTTCAGTCACCCAACTACTAAACTTGAGGAGCTCACGAGTACCCACACGTGTTGAAATACACCCTGGTAGTTCATGAATTTGCAGGTTTTACTGGCATCTTCCCATTATAAATTCTATTTAAAAAAAACAAACTAAAAGAACTTAAACAAAAGCATAATAAATAATGCAGAAGCAGCAGGTTTAGCTGCATGAATGCCTGGAGAGTGTTAACACACTTCAACTTCCTCCAGCAATCAGCTATTCAAAGCTCAGGATGAAGTGCAGAAAAGTCAGAAGATGCTGAGATGCGCGCTTAATTTGCAAACCTGAAAGATTATTACTGTAATTTTAAGGGTCTAATGGTCTAATTTAAAACCCTTTGGGGAAAAAAAAAAAACAAAAACAAACAACAACAACAACAAAAAAACCAAACAATAAACAAGCAAACAAATTCACCCAAACCACCAAAACTGACCAACTAAAATCCCCCAGGCCTATGTTAAGAATGCAAGTTTAGATTTAACTGCTACAGATGTCTTCGCAGTTGGAAAAATTAGGGTCTGGTTTGTTTTTTGGTGTTTCCCCCCTTTACCCCCAAGAGAAATGCATATAAACCAGTTAGTATTTCACTTTCCAACACTTATGAGCAATGCTTACTATACAGAATATGATTGGAGCTGTGGGAATAAAATGATGAGATCCATGAGTTGGTGTGATGAAGGCTGAGGATCCAGGCTGCCAGCTCTTGGCTCCTTCTCTGCGACAAATATGCTACGACTGGGAATACTTCTGTCCTTCAGTTTGCCTTTCTATAATTACTTTAGCCAGCAAGAACAATGTACGGTGCCAGCAGACAGTAACGCTCGCTGTATAAACTGACAAAACCTGACAAAACTCACCTTACCTTCTTGTGGAAAGTCCTCAGCTAATGAATAAAGAGATTTAAGCACCTCGGAAAGCAGTTAAGAGCAGAAAACTAGCAGCAAGAGCTGAATCCCACATATAGCAGCAGTGATCTGCCTCTGCTTAGGAGTAACAAATCCGACAGGAACTGCTGCTAGTTACACCTTCATTTCTTCGAGTTACACTTTAACCAAATGTTTCCCAACAAAACCACAAAAATATTTTTCAAAATAAGCCTTCCCCTTCCACATTGGTGGAAGGATTCTTATTTTAGTTTTCTCAACTAAATCAGTTGGAGGTTTGCTGCAGAACTTAATTTTAAGACATTCAGTAGAGACTGTAGTTAAAAAAGAATAACCCACCACCCCAATACAAAATTTTAAACAGTCTAATGTACTTGGTCATCAACTTCCCTGCAGTTCTGAGGTCACTACTGCACTAAGTCAAACGGTGGGGCAAGACCTGAATTCCAACACAAGTCCCATGCCAGTTCTGCATCCTTGTTATACCCCCATGGAGAAATAAAGCAGCAGTTCACTTTCCCCTTTATCTTTTATGCAGACACTTTTAGACAGACATAAAAATGAGTTATCAATGTAATTATCAGAAAATTACATTGCAGAGCTCAAAACCAATTGCTCTTTTGTTAAGTACTGTGTTAACTGTAGACAAACTTACAAAACTATCTTTGAAAGTTTTTTCTTGGTTGTTTTTTGGCATATGATGTAGAATGGCTAATGTTATTTAAAAAAAAAAAAACAAACACCACCGAAAAAACAGAAAACCAAAAAACCCACCAACAAAAAAATTTTAATGGATTCTGCGCTCAAATAATATTGTTACAACAAAAATATACAGAATGTACACAATACAAAAATATTGGGAAACATACCATAGCGTCTTACTTTGCAAATATAATTTTGTTTTACTAGCCCTTAACGGGAAAGTATCATTTGTTCAGTATTTTAAGGCAGAAAATTACATTGTTTAGTGCTTTGTGTTTAACACTTGGACATGTTGTTAGCATTAGTAGTGTAAGCAAAAGAAAAGCTGCATAAATCTAGCTTTATTTGCAAACTAAACAGACACTGTGGGAGAGTCAGGAGACAGTGACTAACATCTATTAAGCTCATTGGAAATTAAAGTATTTTTGCTATTTAAATTAAGCCTAGGGAATATTTTGTGCTCTGTATTGTAAAGTACCCTGAAACATAATTTTTCTGTACTAGTACTGTCATTTCAGAAATACCTCATTAGAAAGCTTTTCCAATTAAAAGCCAATGATTAATGGTGACATTAAAAATACATTTACCTTTAAACAAGCTTGGTTTCTCTCTTATGTGTGATTCTTTCTTTAAAGCTGCAAAATGCACTGTTTTCCTTTATAATCAGCTCTCAGCATCAATGATTGCAGAAGGAATTTTTGACTCGTACCACAGAGCACTGTAGAGCAGCCACTACTATAAAAGAAACAGAACTGCAGCAATATTCAAAGAAGCTAAAACCCCAGAGGTTCTGGCCTTTGTTCTCTAGATCCCAGTTTGCCTCCAGAGGTTGCTGGTGTTGAACGACATCCATATTCTCCAGTTCCACTTTGGGTAAAGCCAGTGGATGGGGTTTTCAAAGCAACTGAGCTGAGCTTGAATCTATGTAAACAGACTTCGAGCTCTTTACTCACTGAAGTATGTGTGAAAGTCCTACCCACGATCCTGTGAGACTAAATATTGGCACAAAACAGCAGCTGTCTTGTGAGGTCAGCAGATAACTGCTATTTTAGTACCAGCTCTATATGTGTCAGATTCCATCCTTCACACCCCAGCTCAAATTGAAACTATCTAATCTAACTTAAAACATATGGGCAGTATAATCCATCAGAAGGAGCAAGGCCTTGGGATACAGAATCCCTGAGCTTTATTTCTAGTCCAGCAACCTCAGACAACAAGAATTTCTCTGGCCTCCTCTTCCCCATTGATAAAATACCTCCTACTGCTAAAGGAGCAAGTAGTGAAGAATCACAACATGCCACGTAAGTGCTAAGATTCCTCATCAACTGATGGGGGAAAAAAGTGACATGAGATGTTGTCTTAAGAGCTCAACAAAAGTAAATTCATCAGCATTTTTATGACTCCTCTACACTTCGCTCAGAGATTGTTTCTGGTAACCTCCTCTCCCATCACTCCATTACAACCCTCTCCCTCCTCCTTCCTGTGTTATTACCGACATATACAAAATTAATCTCAACCTGCCTCCAAGCGTCTAGGAATAAAAGGTGCAGTTTTCAAGCCCTCCCTGGACTTTGATCTACCTGGTTCTCCTCCTGCCTCCCCACAGCTGTCTGAGCCACTTCTCCCGTCCCTCCTCTGGGATGAGGGATCAGCAGGAGCCCCAGAGCCAGACCCCATCTGTGCTGCGGCCGCGCTGCCGGCAGGTGTCCCTGAAGGAGCTCCAAAACCAGCGCCCGGGCTCTCCCAGCCTGCATTACTGCTCCCTACACCCATCCTCACTGGACCAGTGCTGCAATATACTTACTAAGTGGAAAGTCCAGCATAGAAATGGCTTTTTTTTTCCTCCAGGTGTGGTGTCCTCGTTCAAGGGCACAAGCATAAAATAACTTCCTCTAACGTGCACTGTTCAAATCCGTGCATTGATACAGTCCTTGCCTTTTGCTCTAGCACTGCACATCCGTAAGGTTTGATAGATTCATATTTTCTCCGACTGATGTAAAATCCCGGCAGCAGCTGAAATAAAACCAAAACAATCACCAAAATCAGTCCCTCAGTGGACAGCTCCTTCAGGAACACGTTGCTGACTGTGACAAGTTGGAACCACAAGTGAGCAGGATGGAGAATATTACATATCCAACACAAGCCAGCAGCTTCAAGGACATCTGGAGGTAAAAAAAAAGCTGTTTGCTATTAGCTCTCTGGTGCTGCAGCACTGTGTCACTCCTGAGTGCATTAGAAAACAACATAACTAGGTTTCCTGACACTCTGTAAAAACATAACAAGTTTTCACAGCATAATTTCAGTGATAAAAAAAATAAATGTAAAAGCTTAAGCACTTTGCTCTGGTCCTGACTCCATGAGCTGATAGATTCTTAGCAAACGACAGGCTCAGTGTACAACCTGCTCTATGTATGGGGAGAGATTTCAGCTGTGATGAGCACGAATGTGAGACGGTTTCACTTCTTCACCCACAATAAACCTAGTACTGTCTTTAAGTCTGGCCTTTCTGATCCCCAGAGTTGCTTGTAGATTTGCTCAGACAGGTCATGGGAACACAGAATGGAAGTCAGAAAGATAAAGAATAGTTTAAAATAATAAGTCATTAAGTTAAGACCCAGAGCTGTTTTCAATCAGTTCATGTAAACCATATACATCCATGGATAAAGGACCAAAGAATGGTGCCTGGATTACTCTGTTCAGCTCCCTCCTGCTCCTGAGCAGGGGCTAAGATATGTTGGCCAGGGTCAGGCTGATGAGGAAACTGGTGGCCCTTGAACTTGTAGCTTCCTGCTTCGCCCCAGAGCACATCACGGGTAGGCACAGAAACTTTTCCTGGGGAGAAACTGATGGGCATTAAATAACTTTCAGTTGAGAAACCAGAAATATAAGCCAATCAGTGCATACTGTACTCTGGTAAATTACAGGCAAAATAATCTGGGTTTTGTTGCAATTGAAATTTTCTCCCAAAATTGTCAAAGTTTTCCTAAAACTTCCAGGGGAACTCCCATTTCCGCTCTCCTCTGATTTAAAGGCATCTGTAATCACAAAGGCTTAGCAACAGGTGAGGAAAGGAATATCCCCCTTACCTGTTAAACGTGCTTCTGTCAGTATTGTCCTAGCTGCCTGCTTGCTGCTCCCCTGGAGATGATCTGCACTGCTATGAAACTCACTGGGCCAGCACCTGAAACGATGCCTGTAAACACTCATGACTGCTTTGATCTGGACCCAAACTGCAGAGGTAAAAACTGCCCGGGGAACTAATCCCCTTCTCCAAATGAACAGAGCTCTGACCCTTAGCTCTTCATCTCATTCCTTGATCTGAGGGCCCATGAGCAATGTCTTAGCCATGCAGAACAACAAAGGTGCAGTTGCCCTATGATATCCCATTCCTGTGCACAAAGGTAGCAAAAATTGTTTCTTTTGCAGGTAAGGCTCATTCCAGTCTGTAGAAACAGTTATTTTCTCCCTCTCCCTTTCCCCAAGGCAACAGGAGTTATACTAGTGCATGCTGTGGGAGCAGAACTTCACCCTTCCAGAAAGATTTCTCCCACAGAGGCAAAGAAGGGGGCAGCTGATAAGCACTTGAGAATGTCCCCTCCAGAAAGACAGACTCCTCCTAGTTTGTGGTATCATCTGGAAGCACCGATTACACAGCTGAGAGAATAAAACCCACGATACAGAGACATTTTGCCACAGAGCAAAACAGAACTGCCGCAGTGCCCGTGAGATGTGCTGAGGAAGGCTCTGGTGGCTGGTGCCTGGGCACCGGTATGCAAATAGAAAAAAGGAAGAAAGGAGCTAGTTTAGAAAGATTCCTATGGCTGCTTTATCCAGGCCATCAAACTAGGTGAGTAAAGGGGAGAGAAAGGGAGGGCATCCACATTCCTGGACTGTACTTTGGCAGCTCTCTAAAGCGAGAAGCGAAATAACATAAGCACCTTACAGAGAAGTGTACCTTATAAGCACTGCTTGTGCTACAGATGTTCCAGTCTGGTCCTCAGGTCCATGCAGGCAACTGTATGGACTGTGTTACACCCCAGTGACAGATTGCTAAAACCTGGGCTTGACCAGTGTTAAAGAAGAAGGCATCATTGCAACTAACTGTTCCTCGGAGCCCCTGAACGTCCTCTGCCTCGGAAGAAGCATCCTCAAAATTTAGCAGTCACTTTAAAACCAGTTTTATCAGTTTCACAATGCTCACTGTAACATGGTAACACCCTTTCCACTTCAGCGGGACACCAGTGCTACATACAACCTGATTTAACTCCACTGACTTCAGTGGACAGATTTGGCCCCAAATGGACTGTATGGCTGTGAAGACTAGATTCCCACCCTGCGCTGCCATGGGTGATCCTGGTCCCACTTTTCTAATAAGAGCCTGCTGGAAAAGTTGAGATTCTTGCTAGGAGATCACTACAGGCCTGATCAACGTAGCCAGAAACAGTGAGAAGAAAACAGCACCTGATTGTCAGCTGATAAAAACACAATTGAGTATTTGCCCTCCTTTTCTCCATTCCTCAAAAAAGAAACTCCAGCCACACCCTCTAGCCACAGCAGGCTGGGGGAAAAAAAAAATTAAAATTGAGTGAAACATGCACAGTAAAAATCACCTCTGACTGAGTGTCCACAACACTCTAAGAGTTCCCAAGGTTTATAGTGCAATTTCATTTGACCTGTAGTTGAAGACCAGTCTCCATCACTTTGGGTGATCAACTTCTGCTGATTTCGTTAAAAGGCGCACAAGACAGGCGTCACCGTAGGCTAAAATATCTTAGGAACCATTCAAGTAATTAGACAGTTGCACTGGTATGGCTGAACAGATGTGTCTGTAGAAACCAAACCCAAGCTGCCTTGTGAGTACCATGTGAGTCTCCAATTATTAAGTGTCTGCTATTTTTTCCTTTCAGTGTTCAGTAACATTGAGGAGATTCGTTCAATAACTTGCCACAATTCCAGCACTGACCTGGAAAATATAAATATCTCATACAAAATACTGATGTGTGTTAACAAACCAAGCGATAAGTGCTCAGGTACAATCTGCCCAACGGGAGCCCTGGCAGTGGAGAAACCGCAGGGTCCAGGCCAGCCAGTGTTACAGTACCTGCTAGATTTGTGAGCAAACTGATCAGCCTGTTCTCTCGTGAGATCTTTAACCATCCCATCCAGCACACACTTGTGTTCGAAAGAATCATCCTCCCTTAAGTTAAATATAAAAATAGATCCTCCATCTTCATTCATTTAACATAGCTGACAGATGACTTCCACTCTTGAGTTTTCTGTCCCATGTTTTCAAGGAGGAGGAGGTAGCTTTAGATCCAACAGGCTGTAGGCAAAAATGTTCCAGAAGATGGCAAACAAGACAAAAATGACATAAATAGCAAGGAAGATCCACCATAAAGTCTGATCTTGGAGTCTCTGCTCATAGTTCCTCAGGATGATGACACCGAGGGTGATTCCAACCATCACCCCTCCCAAGTGAGCCATGAAGCTGGGGTGTGGGCATGGTGGGTAAGCGGAGGGGTGGAATCGCAGCCACACGGCTCTTCCAAATTCAAAGCTCACTGGAACAAAGAAGAAAAAAGAAATTAGTTATCCACGTCTATCCCTTTTTAAGTCCATCTCACAGGCAGTGCTCCATCCCTGAAGAGATGGAGAGGAAGAAACTGCCTGTATGGTGAGCATAGGGAAGCTGGGAAGCCATGGCTGTGTAAGGGTGGTGGCACACAGACATGAGGTCTCCCCAGTGGTTGGTAAGTAGTTTAAGTTAATGGGAGTGTAGACAGGTGGGGGAATATCTGCCTTCCAAAATTTATACCAGAATCATTAAAAAAAAAAAAAAAAGTTAGACTTTGAAGACAATTGTCTGTGATGAATACTTGGCCTAGTTTTCCTTATCGTGCCACCCTAGGGATATGGCTGGAAGATAATTCATTAATGTGTGTATAATGCATCCCAGATAGGAAGTGCTCTAGAAAACCCAAGTATTGTCATTAGGAAAGCATTGCTTGTTTGTGGATTCAGAGATGAGGTGTTTAAGTCCCACATCTTCACAAATGCCACAAGCTACAGATGCTGGCTAACAACAAATCCTCATTTACAAAAGCTTGTGTTGAAAGTCAAAATCTGCATTTGAGAGACATGTGGTTTCTGCTGCCAGAGGGTCCAGCTGCAAGTTCCTACCAAAACTGCTGCAAAGTCAAAACTCTCTGAATCAGCACGAACTCTGATAACAAAGACAAACAAAACAAGACTGCACGTGTGCCAACTATTGCATGGTACTTACTACAGATCAAGGCAACAGCCATGCGCAGCAGTTTGAATTGGCACTTCATTCCTGACCAGTTCTGGAAAAGAGACAAGGAAAACAAAGTGATGCTGCATGCAAACCTGGAGGGATTTTATATTCAGATCTGCACCACAAGAGCACCAAGGACAACCATCCCTTGAAAAAAACTCCTTTCGTTGCCTTTGCCACCTGGCTGTGAACTCTCCACTCACCACACCAAACACAGTCCTGTCAATCCCAGAAGAAAAAGTAAAGGATATATTGCAGACATGTCCAAGTTATGGAAAGTCTAGAACTTCTTTGCCTGGCAGCCTTTCTGACTTTCCTTGCCTGAAATCCAGCTGGTGTGGCGTGGTCCTTGGCTGGCCTTGCCAGCCTTTTCTCCACTCTTCAGACTAATTTTTTAACACATTAGTTTGATGTTTCACTTTAAATTCTGACTTCTGAAAATATCTGAATTTACCTACCCTGCAAAAACCCTGTTGTATTAGGCCACATCGAATAAGGTTACGTGAGCAGTACCCAGCATTCAACACAAACAAGCATAATTCTGGCTAACATCACACAGCTCATCATGATTCACTTGGAGGCCCAATACTGTCACCTGTCAGGTAATTTCTCACTCCATTCAAGCCCTACAGCACTTTTCCAGTGCTACTGCCTGTAGCTGAGGCTCCCTGAAATTCTGCAACTCAGATCTTCTGCAGAGCATGTACAAATAATAAAGACCTGAATAACTGAATATCAAGGAAACAGGGCCAAAAGACAGCCTGGATGTGGCCTCCTCCGTCTTCAGGCTTGCTCATTGATCAATATAGAGGAATAAGAATCTCTGAATAATAGTCAAAAATCCTGGGAGAAATGTTTAAATTTCTCCTTTTTCACTCGCACAAAATTTCCAAGGAGAAAAAGAGATCATGTTCTGGGGAATTCAGATGTATGACAATTCTATTATTAAGTCACTCAATGAAATTTTGCCTGATGAAAGCAGTATGAGATACCACACTAGCCAGGCCTCTTGTGACAAACTCCCACTTATCACATTGAAGGAATAAAACAAATGCTTGTAAACTCTTCAGCCTAACTTTAATGGCACTCACTGACTTTTCAGCTTGCTGAAGAAATATTCTGCAATACATATTACATATATTCAAGTTTTATGTGGGATCTGTCAGTAAATCACTTCTGTGACTACAAAAATGCAATCTCTACAAAATGAGTAACTGATTTTCTCTCTCCACAGAGACACCTAACCCAGCCAGAAAGTTCTGAACTCATCCTGATTAATACTGTGCTGCTTCCTTCAGTTTTCATTTCCATGTAGCTGTTTTGAATTCCTCTCCTCACTCTTTTCCTTAGGGTGGACATGCTTTATTGCTTCCCCCTGTTGGTTATTTTATGCACTTCATTTCAAGAATATTTATTTTTACAAGCAGGA